AATTGTTCGTCTCTGTCTCTGCCTGTCTGCAATTATTATTCTACCGTCACTTTTCGCCGGTTTTATATATACAAAACAGAGGGCGTGTCTAGCAAACACTCGAACCTTCACGATCGTTCTAGATACTCATTACGTGTTACTAGCGTCACGTACCTTCCGCTGTCGTAACAATATTATAAACCTGTGTATATCTTGGTCTAATCAGAAAGTGCCATAATTAGATGCTGGTAACTTTGTGCATATGTTTGTGACTTGCCACTATGGCCAACGATGTGATCAATTTAACCAAGTATTTCTGATAAGTTTCCAATCTGCTCTTATAATAGAACATTTAGTGTTAGAGCATTGGTGGTTGTAGTGTTAACTGTGTTTAACAGCGATATTTTGATAGCTTGACATCGATGTTATGATAGGCTGGTTGAAACCACTACTATTTTCAGTATGTCTGAAGACTGTTTGGAAAACTTATAGCCTGATATAGAGGTCATTTAAAAATTTAGTCCCACAAATCAGATACATATGCCAATCTCTACCCCCACCCCCACACACACACAAAGTTTTTTACAAGTTTTCTTTACAAGCCATTTGTGCTTTTTTATTTAATGAATAATGCTTATGACTAAATCTTTTATGGTTGTTGAGGATATAAATAGAAATGTGGTGTGGGACAAGCTTGTCAAAGTAAACAATTTGCCACTGCAAGGATGCAGCCATAGAATGACTGGTAACTTGTGCTTGAATTGGCATGAAAGTACATCACAGATTCTCTTTTCAATTTCACCTCTGGTGAAAAAATAAAAATAAATCTTTAACATATATATATACAAATGGAAAGGTGATGTTTGTCAAAGATATGTAAATTGACTGTAATTGAATAGATGAGAATATTTTTGAGGTTTTATTCTCATTCCATGTGTCTTATTGTATGAAACCCACAAAAGCAAGTTTACTGCCACATGATGTATTTTACGAAGTTTATCTTATATTTCTTTTCAGTTTGGGGTTGTAGATGTGCATTGGAAATATCTGAGTTTATGTTACAGAGTAGTCATAATTGATGTAAAAAGATTTACGGTAACTGTTTTGTATGAAATGGATGAAAGGTTTTTGTAAATATTTTCTGTTCATTAAAGAGTTCTTATTTCTAATTCTTTTTAATTATCTGTTGAGTGTACCAGATGTATTGTGAGTACTTTTGTCAGATTTTGTTTCATTTTTAATTTTTAATTTCACAAATTTTTTTTTACAAATTGGGCAGTCTTGGATTTATATCTGCTAAAAGCAAATGTATTCTAATCTTTTCATGTTTTAGATCCTTAAGACAGTTAACGGTTAGTCAGATCAAATGTATACAAGAAAAATCTTCACCAAAATCATCAACAGAAAATGAAATTCTTTATTTAACACCAAAAGAGTCTCTATCTTTGAATCTTCATCAAACATCAAAAATTAAAGCTAAGAACCTGATACCACGTGGTAATAGTCCTGACTCAGACTCTGCAAAAGGAGAAAGTGTAACAGCTGGAATCTCAGATCGTCAATCTTTAAAACAGCCACTACTGTCCAGTAAGTAATTATTTGAGGCTATATTATTGTTTTTATTTTAGGGAAATAAAGTCATAGACCTTATTTTGTGTAAAGTGTGTGGGTGGAATGTAAGATTAGCAAATACCTTTACTTGAATAGATGAAATTTACTTTGCACCTTTATGAGAACTGAGTACTGGCATGAAACAACTCCTGATAGGCATTTCTGGGAGAAAAGGGGGTAATTATCAATAATTTTATCTTTCTTTGTTATATCTCTATCATAGAGAGGGTGTTTTTGGAGAGGGAGGTGCAGTTTTTCTGTATTTTTCGAAACATTGAAAATAATATGTTAACATAGTATACATAGATTTGTATCTAAAAAGAAAGGCATTTTGATTTATGGCTTACATGAAATTTATACATATTCTGATTATTCAAAATGCTGTTAAATATTTCATTGTGTTATTAATATTTTTTAAAGGGACATGTATCACATTTGTTTGAGGGGTATGCTTCTTGTAGACTAGGGAAGATGGGCACCCCCCTTGTAGTAAAACTTATAAACTTTCAGAAAAGCAAGAAGATAGTTGTAGCTACTTTTTTACTCTATATGACTCAGCCATAACATGTTTTATTCAGAGATTTATTGTATTCAACACACTACGTGAGATAGAACTGAACAGCAACAAGGAATGGTTAACTACAAATATTTTTTATGGAACATAAATTTAAAAAAACTGCAGATTTTGTTTTCTGTTGGCTGTCCATATCAATCATGACTAAGTTTGTAGATATACATCCTACGTGCTGTGTATCATGGAAAGCTTACTCTACATCAGTTGATGTTTTTTGGGATATCTGATCTTATTCGAGTAATAACCAGGCACATTTCTGTTGGTTTGCTTTATTCATCAGTATACATACATTAACATCATTTCAGCTACTACTCCCTCTAGAATCTGTATAGTTCCAAATCTATTGGACACTTAAAAGCAGGTGACTGGTAATGTTACACAAGCCAAATAAAATTAATTTAAATTAATAATACTATTATGGATACTAAAATGAGTCATTTCTTTGCTGCTGAACCTCTGTGTTTCTTCTGCCATGTCCAATCATCTGTTGTTTCTTAGTAGGAAAAGTTGGTAATCTTCCCGGAGCATCCAAAAAAAAACTTAGTGACGAGTCAAAATGCAATATTTTTTTTATAAATCTTTATTAGATGTAGAGCTGCAACTTTAAAATACTACTACAAATACGAATTTTTTTGCAAAAATCTTCATTGCTATTGTTCAAAAACTTTAATTGTATGAGACTAGCAACATTTCGTGTCAAAGTTTGTAGGCATTTGTGTACACGCGTATTTTATTAGGGCAAGGTAAGTAATTCTGGTAAATCTTCAGGTCAAAGAGAAGAATCCATCATGAAGCTAGTATTCTGCTACTTGGACACAAATGACATGTTAAACTGCCGACGTGTGTGTGGGAGGTGGAAGAACTGGATTGAAATCCCACATTACTGGACACAAGTACTTCTTATTAACTGTTTGGTTACTCCCACAGTAAGTAGTTGTACAGTTTTTATAGATGTAGATCTACTTGTATATTTACACATATATTTTTACAAAGTTTTTGTTTTATTGTATTTTAAATTTTTTGTACTTACACATTCACATGATTTGATATATATGTGTCTGTATATACAAACAACATATATTTGTTTCCCTCTTTCTTTCATTTCACATCTTAAGCATTTTACAGTTAACCATCAATGTACTAACTTGTTTTTATACAGTTATTGGTGGGATCCAAACATTGTATCATATTGAGTAACTTGAAATTTTTGCATTACAACACTCATTGTAAAAAAAAAACAACAAAACATTGTTTAGCTGAAAGGACATTTGACATAATATGATGAGCATTGTCTTAGTGTCTGTAACTTTCTCCAAAGTTTAGGAAACAATTTAAGTTGTGTATAAAAAGTGAGTTAGGCTAGAATTAATTGACTCTGTTTCATTTGGTGAGTAATCAGTATGTGAATTAGCCAGTTTGTTACTTTCAACCTGTTAGTTTAGTGATATGGAATATTGAGTTTGTGTTTGGACAAAGAAACAGAAGTATGAAGTTAGAAAGATAGTGGAATTTCTCTTACACTTGCATTATTTGTGAATTTAGGCTTAATGGTGAATGTTGATTATGCTAAATGTGGAACTTGAAATTCAAGAAATAATAGTTATCATTAAGTGAACTAGACTTTCTAAATAATCCAAAAGAACCTGCCCAGTAGAAACCATTACAACAGTATCATTCTGTGTATTACTGTGTACAACCTCATATGTCATCTTTGTTTTATAAACATATTGTGTTTTGTTTTAAAATTTGTTCTCTTAAGGATATTAATTTAGCTTTGATGTATGTCAAAATAAGGTAAAATCATTGTGATTAAGTTGTGAAAGTAACACATTCTTGATTAATGTCTAAAAAGTAAAAGCATCCTAAGTTGTAAAATCAAAAGGCTGGTAACTTAATTCTAGGTTGTTAAAAGTTTAATTGAAAAACCATTACCTATCCAACAGTACAAGTTATCTAAACATATTAAGAAAATACTTAAAGATTTTAGTAAAAGTTATTTGAAAAATTACATTTGTGTAGGCTTTGTATAAAAACTTTTTATAAGTACAGAATGTACATAATTTCATTCTTAATAACTTTGACTGTTGCGTTTTGTAATATGACTAAGCTAGATCACTGTAAAACTTAATAAAGCTAGTATAATAATAATAATAAGAGCACAGGTTTTATAATCTTATCGTCATTTAAAAAAAGCAAAACAGTCTTCGCTTTCTTTGACTACCTATTTTATCATTATTCTATGAAAAAAAGAATAATCATAATTCTAATGTAAATGATGTTATTAGCTCTTGAAGTTAGCTTTCTTACAGAAATCTGGTATACCTTTAAAGAGATTAAGTGAAACAGGAATTACCAGCCAATAATAGATGAGCATTAGATGACTGTACATGTAGAATTCTCAAGGCTTTGGGGCTTTGTGCACTATACAATCGATGTTTTAGGGAGTCAACCCCTATATTATGTATGAAGTGAAGGAGGAAAAAAAAATTCAATACACATACAAGTCATCAGAAGCTACATATGAAGAGCTACATGGCATAGTCACTCTATCTCCAGTGTATTTGCTGCTTTTCAGCTCTTCAGAGCATCCCAAAATTGAAAACTGGCAAATAGCCCAAACTGAGATTTCTTATTTTCATTCATAATCATCACCTTTCTCCAACAGGCCTAGCACCTGCCTAGTTCTAGCAGTAACTAGAATTTTATCATAATTTGATAGAATGAAACAGTTTTCACAATCTTTGACTACCTATTTTATTATTGTTCTATGGAAAATTGATAAAGCTTTATAATGCACTCTATAACCTAGTAACTTACACAGGCTATCTTACAAAAAATAAAAGTAAACAAACAAGTATTTGGAAAAAGTATATTGCTAAATAAAAAGTTATGTAGGTCTGGTTACTGAACTTGAAAAAAGGAACCAAACAAGATAGAGATTGTCAGGTTTTTATAGGGCCGGATTCTTTACAGTAGGTTTCTGTGACTTGGTGATAAATTTTAACAATAAATGGAGAGCACACAATTCACTTCTTTTAAAATAATATATTCAAAACAAGTCAAATGTATACACAAAACTTTGTTACACTATTGGTTGTTACAGCTCTTTCCAGAGCTTTAAATAATTGTCTCTTTTTTTTTTTATGAAAGTCCACACAGATGGGTTCAATTACTTTAGAATAGAACACCCTTTGAGACAAGACAAATTATTTTCCTCTACTCTGTTGCTACAAACAAGGCTGTGACACTAAAATCTGCACACCTCTTGCATCAGTTCTGAGGTAAACTGGGACCCTCTGTTACACAATAATTCTTTTGGAAATCCTACTCTGCAGAACACTTCCAGGAGGGCTTCTGCTATTCTCTTCCTCTTTATCTTCAGCAGTGCTATGTCTTCTGTATAACATGTCACATATTTGATTACTCTCAGCATATACCAGTTGCCCTTGTCAGATACCGGTGCTAGTGGTCTGATCAAGTCCATAGCTACTCTGTTAAACAGATCTTTTATGAGAGACATCTAACCTAGTGGTATCTTGACTGTCTTCACTTTAGGTATTGTCCTTTGGCAGATGTCACATGACCTACAGAATCTGGTTACATCTCCGATGATCCCCAAACAATGGAAATTACAGGTGATTCTGTCTGCCATCTTCTTTGCTCCTAGGTGTCCTCCCACAATTAACTCGTGAGCCAGCTTCATTACCTAAGACCAGTATTCTGTTGGTACTATGATCTGTTTAACTTCTCCAGTAGAACTGCCTTGATAGATCCAGTACAGCACTCCCTTCTGGTCCTCTATTCTATAAGTCCCGATTCCCTTTGTCTTGTGCTAGACTTTCTCCCAGGCACTGCCCCTAATTTTCTGCGGTGAAGGGTCTTTCTTCTGTGCTTCCTTCAGTGCCCATAGATCCACATTCGAGATGTTGCCTTTTAAAACTTGCAGGGGGCTTGATACTTATCTTTTCTTGAGCTCTTGTGGTGACTGCAGATGCCTCATCATCCTTTCTGTCTTGTTCCTCCAAACTTCTACTACCTGGTATAGATGGGTGCCTTCATACACATGGCATCAAGGTCTTCCATGTAATATGGAGTGTCCACCTTTATTCTTGCTATGGGAAACTTTATCACTGTCCTATCAATCAGCAAACAAAGTTGTACCTTCCCCATCATCTGGCCATCAGATACAAGACTGGTTTTCACTGTTGTACTATTACACCCAGTGTCTTGTAGGACATTTATTTTTTGTCCCCAGCATAGCCTTCATCTACTGGCATGTTGTGATTTGTTTGCACCTCTTGATGTTTATCACATGCTCTAATCACCACTGGTATTGTTGACATGTTTGCTAACTTGAGCTGGCCATTAATCATGCACTGTTTAATCACGGAGATAGCATTTCCTTCTTGTGGTGAATTTGATGTGTTGTCTGTATTCTGTTTTTGTTTCTTTTTTGGCAGCAGCATCCATGGTGATAGTCACCCTTTTTCTTGTTTCTTGCCAGCACCATCTTTTTATTTAGCTCCAGCTGCTTTATGTTGAAATTTCTGCTGTTGCTTGTTGGTGACAGACTTGCAATCATTTGCAATATGCCCCATTTTATAACAAATATAGCATCTCATCTCCCATTTGTCCATTGAGTTTTTGTCACCTTTGATGGTATCCTATTTTTGGTCAGCCACCACTGGTTTCAACTTTAACTGGCTATTCTTGGACTTGCCAGTTATACTCCTTCTATGGACTTCCATATAATGTTCTGCCAGCTTGATCATCTTGCCCCCTCATCTTTTAGTGCTCACTCTTTTAAGAACAATGACATGTCAGTTAAGCACATGATCATGAACTGTTCATGTATTAATAGATCTGCCAGTCCTTCAAAACAATTTTCACACTTGGCCATGTCAGTCTACCTTGTGAAGTATCGCTGTAGATGTGCCACAAACTGAAATATAGTTTCTCCAGTGCGAGGTTTGACTTCTCTGAACAACCTTAAACAAAACTTCCTCGGTAAGTTCATAACATTTAAACAAGGCCATTTTTAACTTATCATAGTCCATGGCATCTTCTGACATCATGCCTGCACCCACTTGTAGACCTTTTTCTGTGAGAAGTAGGCTGAGACAGACTGCCCAGTTGCCTTTGTCCCAGTTCTGTCTTTGGGTGAATCTTTCATATCTCTCAAGAAAAGCATCCATGTCATCTTTCTATTAATCAAATTGGGTGAGCTGGTCCTGACCCCAGTGTCATTCTTGGGTTCTTCCTCTTTCCATTGGGTGAGCTTGCCAATCTCAATTTGTGCTTTTATTCTCTCTGTCTCTCTCAATTTCCAGTCTCTTTTCCTCCCCTTTTCTTCTTTTAGTGTCTCTTCTCTGCTTCAGTCTTTTCTCTTTAATTCTTGTTGTGGTTGTTGCTTAACAAACTCTAATAGACCATTATCTTTTAGCTCAAGTTGCTCACCTCTTTCTACCCATTTATCAAAATCGGTCAACATGGTTATATAACATGATTGTAATCTCTACACTATTTTTGCCACCACTACAGTTGTGCGTGTATAGGTCTATTTCTGCTGTTTTTCATTTCTACCACAGTTTACCATTGTATAATCCTGGATGTCTCACAAATGTCAGGTGTTTATAGGGCTTGATTCGTTTCAGTAGTTGTTTATGACTTGTTGCCGATACAATTAAGCAATAAATGGACAGCATACAGTTCACTTTTTTTAAATAATATACTTGAAACAAGTCAAATGTATGTACAAAAATTTGTTACACTATTGGTTATCACAGTTGTAACCAGAGCTTTAAATAATTGTCTTTTCCGATATGGTACTTACCTCTTCTCACAAAATTAGCTATTCCCGTTTGGTGCTGCCCTCTCTATGTGAACTCTTTCTTTACACATGCCATAAGCCTTCTGCTCCCCATATTGGAATTGTAATATTCCAACGTGTGACTCATGCAAATCATCATGTTTCAGTTCTCCACCAATATGAACATGACATGCTCATGTGACACATGTAACTCCCTCTATACTCATCTATTGAACTATCACTTCTTGTTTGGCAGCACTTGTATTCAGACATGCTTCTTATTTGTTTAGCAATTCATGTTCAGCTTTAGTTTCTTCACGAAGTGGTTTTCTATAATTGATTGAGTTTTCATTCAGACAGTTTCTGCACTTTAACAAATTTTATCAGTTAGTTCCAGTCTCATTATTTTTTAAATTCACCACTCGAATTTTGTGATCATTAGCTGGATGAAGTGATATGTCCACTTCTATTCCTATTTTGTTTGGTTCCTTTTTTTCAAGATCAGTAGCCAGTCCTACATAGCTTTTTTATTTAGCGATAATTTTTTTTTCCTAATACTTGTTGTTCATTTAGTGTATTATGGGAAATATCTTGCAGTTTGTTGTGTTAGTCTAGAGAAAGTGTTCCTTAGACTAGAAAGTGGGAATTGTTAATTTTTTTTTTCAGTCATTAGGCTTGGCCATGGTCATATGATATGATGGATCATGTATTTAATAAGAATGAACTTCCATGTTTATTTTTCCAGGATATAATTTTAAAAAATGTTAACAGGTATAAATGATTTTCAATAATTTCTGGAACTTTAACAAAAGCTTTGTAATTCCATGATTTTTATCTCTTTTCAAGAAAATTTGGTACAAACTTTCCTTTTTGTTTATACTTGTAGTTAAGCTTTTGTAGTAAATTATGGTTGAAAATTAAGTGTAACAATGTTTCACTTAAATAATGTAAAATTAATATTTATATATTGGATATAAATTCATGGATGATAATTTTGTTTATTTACTTGCTTCCTTCATATCCAGCTAATGCTTGAGATGTCAAAGTTTTGCACAGTGACAAGAATGTTAACTCTTCAGGGTAAGATTTTTATTTACAAAACCAGTTCAAAAGATAATTACTAATTGGCCAATCAACATAAAAAGTTTTGTTTATCAAGTACTTAAAACTTAAACATAATTTAGTGACTATCAATATGTTTATTTCCCATTAGAGCTTGATGTAACATCAAGTTCTGTAAAATTGCTAGAAAACAGACAGTATTGGAAGGTTTAATCTCTAATGCTAATTATTTTAAGACATAAGAAGAAGTATATTATTATGAGATTATATACAACTCTTATTTTTCCCCTTTGGTTCCTATTTTATAAAATTAGGTGTGAAAGTCAGAGAGAAGGAGGGACAAGAGTCTGATCAAGAATATTTTAAATCAACAAGGTAACTCTGCAACTTTTAATTTTTTCTTGCATGTTTATGTGTTATTCCTGTCCTCTTTCTTTTTTTCTCTATCTAATGCAGTCTAACGTCCATAGAATTTTCATAAGCATTCAATGACATAGATTCATAGATTTTTATTTCCAATCATTAATCTAAAGATTTTTCTTTTTATAATGGGAAAGATAAAATATAAAGTGCTTGAAAAAATGAAATTTACTGTAGGCACTGGAAAAGTAATGCCACAGCTGTTAGAAAATGTTTGTTATCAGAGTATGATAGAGAAAACTTTAATATTAAGTATATCACTTTTATTAATCAGTTCAAAATATATCAATTTCATTAAAAGTATATCAAATACTAATGCTAACTAGGTGCCTGAGATTTAACCTCATACCCACTCATCAATTTGTGAACAGATTCTATCTCCTAAAAAGTCTAGCCTGGCCTAGTGGTTAGCATGCTGGATAGTGGATCTGAAATTCCATGGTCTGTGCCCCATTACTACCAAAAAATATATAAAAAATAATAATGCTCGACTCTCTGGGATTGTGGGTGCTTTATGAGAGTGATAGGCAAACCCAGTATTATTTCTGATTAGCGTTGATTGTGGGTAGCATTTTTTTCCTATGTGACTCCATTTTGAGACATAAAAATTTACATGACCCCAGACAGCACCTAAAACAGCCAAAGGAGTCATAACAATCAACAACGTTAATGGGGCTATTTTCAAATCTTTTTAATCCAGAATGAGAGTAGGTCTAATTGTAATAATCTTCTCATTTTCCCATTGGCCAATGCCATGACCCAATATGGGATTGTGGCCCACAGTTTGAGAAATGCTGCTTTAGCCTGGCACTTCAAAATTAAGGACAGCTAGTGCAGATAACCTGTGAGTAGCTTGTCTCAAAATCCAACAAACCAGGAATAAGAGCTTTCATATGAAAAGTTTATATTTTGTTTACATTTGCTATGAAATTCTTTTTCTTTTTTTTTTGATTTTCTGAAATTACATCAACCAATCATATTTGAATGACCAAGTTATGGGTATATGTATATTTGTTATCAGTATTAAACATCTGATCATAAGTAGAATAGCTGTATAGGTCAGAACTAAAAACAATAAACATCTAATCATAAGTAGAATAGCTCTATAGGTCAGAACTAAAAACAATAAACATCTGATCATAAGTAGAATAGCTCTATAGGTCAGAACTAAAAACAATAAACATCTGATCATAAGTAGAATAGCTCTATAGGTCAGAACTAAAAACAATAAACATCTGATCATAAGTAGAATAGCTCTATAGGTCAGAACTAAAAACAATAAACAAGTACAATAGCTCTCTAGGTCAGAACTAAAAAACAAATTATAAATTAATGAAGCTAATTCTGTATAACAAACTGAATAAAAGTATATAATGTCATAAATTAATATATAAGAAAACAAATGCAGGTAATGATTAGACTGTATTGATTCATCATTTATATACCCTTGCTGGTATCAGAGTTTACATTTGTAATCCAAACTAATCATGGTTTAGTGATAACATGCCAGACTGTGGTCCAAGGATTCATGGTTCATGTGCTGCTGCCATAAAACCTTACTGTGCACTTCGGGGTTACGTGTGAATTATAAGTGACAGTATTCTCATTATTTGATTAGAATAGCTTAAGAGTTGACAGTGAGTGACATTGACTGTCTGACTTTCTCCTAGTCTGTCAGTTCAAAATGAGGGATGGCTAGTGCAGAAAGCCTTTTTGAAACTTTCTGTAAATATTCAAAATAAAACAAATCAGCTCTAATCCCAATAATCTCACAAGGCTTGTCCAACTTTATAAGCAATTAAGTCCTAATTTATGTACTAAGCACCATGCATGAAAATTAATTGAAATGTTTCTAAATTTCCTTTTTCTGCCTTTTAATCTTTTTTCTAGTTATTAGAAAAGTCTTTGATGAAACACCAAATTCCTAGTGTATTAACCAAATTAAATCTGTATTTTGAGCTTTGTTAAAGTCTTTCACATCAACTAAAGAAACAAACTTCCTGTACTTCCGTAACTAACAGTTCATACATGTATTTTCAATTTCTCAGTATTTTTTGTTTTTCGTAATTTGCTCATTAATAAACTTCTTTTTTTTTTATGTAACAACTTTGATAACAATTTTACTTATCCAAAGAAAATCCCTCAAATGGGAAAAAAAATTTAAGTTTTAAATAAAATATTTTAATGTATTTTCTTGTTACTTTCATTGAAGAGGAAAGTTGGAACCTTCTTTTGATAACCTTTTAAAGGCAATGCAGAACTCTCTAACCTGCCTGTCAATTGTAGCCTGTGATAATTCTTTGACAGAAAGGTAGGTTGTATGTGTTTCATATTTAAAACCTGAGACAATAATCATTCTTCTTCATTTTGATATCTAATATTATTTTTGAATTTTAAAACGATAAAGAAGCTTAAAATGAATTTTTCGATGTAAGGAAAGAGATAAATGTGAAATCAGTGTGAAGTAAAATTTGTAATTGGAATCTACTTTTGGGATTAACGACAAAAAAGAAAAGAACATTACATGTGTGAGGGCAGTCCTAAGGAATAATGTTTAATAGCTGAATGAGACAAATAAAGATTGAAGTTCAAAAGAACATACTGTATGTAAAAAATGAATAAAGCTAGGCAATTGATGGAATTTTGTTATCAATTAATTATCAGGCTCGTTCGTTGAATACATTCAACTAATCAGTTACTCTCACATGAATCTTGAAAAGTTGAATTAATTAAAAATAATAATGAGAAATCATAATGGCAATATCTCAGATACTTTGGTAGTGGAATAATCTATATTTGTAACATGAATTGATTTAATTTTAATTTATTGTTTTCTTTAACACTAATCAATGTAATTATTATTCATAGGTCATCAAATTAATCATGTAGCTCTCCAAATGAATCAAGGAAAAAAATATTACAAAACATTTTAATGATGTAATGTGTATGTGTATTTTACAAAATTATTTTCAGTAAATAGTTATGGATTCAGTTACTTAATTTTGGAATTGTTTTAAATTATTCTTATATTAACCTTTTTTGTCCAACAGTAGCTACCAGAAACAATAATATTTAAATTTTATGTTTAGAAATTGATAAAAAAGTACAAAAAATATTAAGTGTTACAAATTATTTTGTGTGGCTTGTTCAGACTATTGTATAGTTGTTCATCTGGTGGATTTGTACACTGCACATAAATACTTGTGAATTTCATTGTTTAGCCAATGTATGGATCTAAATGTAAGAATTTGTTTAATGGTGTGTTAAGTAAACATGTGGAATTCAGTAACTGAGTTACTTTTCTGTGTATCAGAAGTCTGTGGCAGGCAAGTTGTTGCTGTCATTATCTGGAGAAAGTGGCATACATCAGTAGCATGTACCCAGCCTCCCCAGAAGTTCTGTGGTCACTCGGATCTGGATGTCGATTGTTACGATGTCTGATAATTCCACCATATTACCCAAGGTTTGTCAGTTTACTGTAATATCACTAGGTCTTTCTATACTGAAAAAATGAAAACATCATATCCTGTTTCTTAATTCATTTTACCATACTGTTTTTCAAACATAATGTTTGAAATAGTGGAGTTTTCACCAAAACACAGTTCTAATTTATAACTGTAACATTACCTATTCATCATAATCCTACAGCATGTGGGCTATTGTGGGGAATAAAGTGTATGACCAACACCATACAAATTAGTTCTAGATATCACCTTGGGTTATTTATGGGGAACAAGAGTGTATTACCAACACCATACGTATTAGATGTAGGTCACCATGGGTTACTTGTGGGCAATAGAAATTATTTCCAACACCATATATGTTGGCTGTAGATCACCATGGGTTACTTATTGGCAATAAAGAGTATTGCCATACTCATTAGCTGTAGTTCACCATTGGTTACTTGTGAAGAGTAAGGAGTATTACCAACACCATGAATGTTAGCTGTAGATCACCATGGGTTACTTGTGAGGAATAGGGAGTATTACAAACACCATACATGTTACCTTTAGATCATCATGGGATACCTGTGGGCAATAGAAAGTATTAACAACACCATCTTGTTATCTGTAGATCACCACTATGACAGAGAAACTATAAGCAATATTAAGTGTTATAAATTCTTTTGCATGGCTTGTTCAGGCTATTGTACAGTTGTTCACCTGTCAACTTATCAATTACTTAGTTGTACTTAGCTACAAGATGTTTATTTCAGCAACCTAATAGAAGATTGTTATTTTTAGCTAAGTTCTGCCAACGTCTGATAGTTGTAGAACTGGACCACATGGGGAGTTGTAAGAAAGTTCAGTGAGAGAGATGTGTAGAATTAATTTTTGTTTTCACTAACAGTAAGTTATTTGAGTTTGAAATCCAGATTTCAAATAAAACCTATTAGGGTGGAATATAGCCACGATGACCTTTGTTTTGTAACTCACAAATTGTACTTTTTTTATTCTTCTATAAATGCTTTGATCTAAAGAAAAATATTGATTTCTTTTAAGCTGGATGTGTGGTCTTGTTTTTTACTTTATTGTTTTGGAATTACATCATAATGGACTTTTTCATGATATGGAAGAATATTTCATATATTTTTTTAAAAGCAAAAATTGACTAGCTGGGTCTATAAAATGACACCTTGCTGGCAGTAGTCCATTTTACCATATTTTAATATTATTTTACCTGAATTATTTAGGTTTTTCATTCCTCATATTTTGTTATTAAATTTTGGTCAGTATTTAAAAGGTGTGAGATGTGTATGTATAGTGGAATTCCAGTCAAGCTTTATTATTTATTTTGAAAATAATGAACTTTTAGCATGAAATCTTTTAGATACATATTCTGAAACACACCTCCTCTCACTCTTTAGCTTTATCCCGACGAAAGTTTCTTCTTCTATGCCCATCTAAGCATTGGTATGAATTATAACTCGCTTGCTCCAGTCCTTATAACTCACTATATCGCCCATAGCAATTTCTCCACCTATGTCAATGCACCTTATATACCAGATCTGTGTATAAGCTCCTCTTATTTACTTTTTCTAGACAACAGAAATTATAACAGTGGTCTTGAGTTTATTGTTTATTTTCTTTATTTTACCCAAAAAAAACATTTTGGAAATGTTTTTCAAATATGAATACATACATTCATGTCTCAAACATGGAATCGCTTGATGCACCTCATAAGTCTGGCATTACTCGGGTGTTGGGAAGGGGGTGGGCACCTTCCATGGTGGACATACAGTTCTTCATAAGAAGAGAGGTAGATCTTACATGTGGTCTGATATTTTTTCTCTGCACCTTCCTTTGCTCAGACAACTAATCACGAGCCTCAGACGTATATTCTATCTGCTGCACCTTTTTTGCAACTAGTATGCCAAGTTTGTAATGTTTTGAGTATTTCTCTTGTAGCTTACAAATCTTCCCCTCCTTTATTGGGAAAAAATCATTTGTCTGATTACCTGGTCCTTCCACCTTCACCAGACATTACTGTGCATGCAAGGAGATTTGAGAGAGGGTGCTACCATGCCTTGTATTCCTCGTTTATTGGATCAGCATGCCTTGGCTTTCCATCACCTGGAGAATCCTTATTTGGACTCTCAGAGGTTAGATTATCTTCTTCCTATTTAGGGCTTCAGACAAGATGCCACAGTTCACCTTAATCAATCTCAGTTTTCCAGAATTTGTCTGTTACCTATAACTGTTTTGCATGTTTTATCATCTTTGCAACTGTTGTCTGAGGCTTATAGCAGATCTCCTGCACAATTTTTGGATGATCTTAGTTGTTTATTGACTTCTACTTTGGTCAGGTTTTCAGCTTCTGCTCTCTCCTTGGTATCTTGGTTGGTTTGTTGTTGAGATCTTTTGGAGAGAAATGCCTCACTGGAGAGAGCTTGCCTTCCTGCTTCACCCCTTAGAGATCTCAGAGAAGCTCCTGTTCTCAGATGGTCAGTGTTTGCTGGTATTCCTGATTCCACTGAACCTTAAGTGGATGTGGCCTATCTTCACTCTTCCCTTTCTACCCTGGCTTCTCAACTGCTTCAAAGGTCTTCTACAGGATAGTTTGCTGCATCTCCCGTTCGACTTTCAATACCTCTGGCTTTGGCACCACGATCCATTGGAACACAAGGCCAATTCCAACCTTACCAGCCAGTATCCTCTTCTAGGGTGGAGAACAGACTACGACATCAGTGACAGGGTTTGTTCAATATTGGAGACCTTCACCACAGATCACTGGGTCATTCATGTTCTCAGGAGAGGATTGGTCATTCAGTTCACATCTCCTCTTCCATTGTCTCTCATACCAGTTGGCTTTTCACTCCCTAAGGACCCTCTTGCATCCAGCTGTCAAGCTCAAACCATCCAGGATCTTTGGCATAAAGAGGCTATAGAGCACTTCAATTCATCTCTCAAGGGTTTGTAGTACCAAAAACAATGGATAATTGGCGACCTGTCATCGACCTTTTTCATTTCAATTACTTCCTCCAGCCTCTTCAGTTTACAATGGAGTCATTTCTTTCCCTTTGGTGGCTCTTTTCACTTGGTCTAAGGATGACAAAACTTAATGTCACTGAGTCTTCATGCCATTATCTCTGTTTCATGCATAATAATCAGGTTTTTCGGTTTCATGCTCTTCCATTTGGCATTGCATCTGCCCCATGCATATTGTACTGGATAGTCAGATCCTTTTCACATCATCTTCACTAATTGGGCACTCACCATTACATGGACGACTGGCTTCTTCTTACTCCTTCCTGCCACTTGGCAGAAATTTACATTCAAACTTTAGTGTCAGAAGCTGCAAGAGCTTGGTTTAGTATCACAAAGGAGAAGTCTATTCTTACTCCCACACATTACCTTGTCCATTTAGGGGTGTTTTTCAATTTCGGACTAAGTTGGGCCCAACCTTCTCCTTTATGCCTTCAGGCCATGTAAAGGGAAGTTCTTCAAATACAGTTGTCTCTTTCTCCACCAGTGCATGCAGTTCTATCTCTTTTTGGTATGTGTTCATTCTTGGAATCATTCATTCCTTTCAGTCGGGCTCACATGTGGACCCTCCAGTGGTTGTTACTGGATCAGTGGAACAGATGTGCTGGATTGTCCAGTGCTTTGTTGGTTTCCAGTCTACAAGATCTTGGCTGGTGGTTGGACAGGGATAACGTGACAGTCTGTGCCCCTCTTTTATCCCCACGTCCAGATATACATCTTTTCTCAGATGCTTCTCTACAGGGATGGAGTGCTTGTATAGAGAATATAAAACTCAAAGGCCTTTGGACAGAAGAGGAAACTTCTCTTCACATCAATCTATTAGAACTTCTAGCAGTTCAACGAGCAATGACTCAAGGCTTTAAACTGTTGTCACGGTAGGTGGTAATGCTTCACTCAGACAATTCCACAGTCGTCTAGTACCTTTCAAAGCAAGGGGGCACTCACTCCAAATCTCCTTGCTTTTAAACATTGGATCTTCTCTTTTGGACACACAAACATCATGTCATTCTCCTTGCTTGTTCTGTTTCAGGTGTAATGGATTTAGTGGCTGACCAGTCATCTCATCCCAAGGATTAGATGCTTCATCCTTAAGTTTTTTTGTTGGATCTGCTGTTGACTCGGAATGCCCCAGATTGATGCTTTTGCCACACACGGGAATGCTCAGCTCCCGCTCTTCTGGTCTCCTGTACCTCACCCTCTGGCTTTGGGCATAAATGCTCTCAGCTAGGACTGGATGGGTCTTATCTTTACACATTTCCTCTGACTTGTCTGTTATCCAAGTTTCTTGCACTGATTTGCTCCACATCCTGTCAAGTTCTTCTGGTGGCACCACATTGACCAGGTCAGTCTTGGTTTCCACTCCTCCAGTATCTTCAGAAGTGTCGACCTCTTCCACTTCCTCTCTGGCCATCTCTCTTACATCAGCCATGATCAGACATTTTTCATCTGGCAGTCGATGTTCTTCAACTTCACACCTCGATTTTATGTGGTTTGTTGCCTGACATCAGGGATTGACTTCTCGAGTGGTCTTCTTATTAACATGATCCATTCTGCATTCTTCTTCAGAAGTTTATCAACGGAAATGGTTTACTTATTATCCATGGTTTCTCAGATATGGGTTCAACCCTTCTCGGCCCACTTTGCTGCATGTCTCAATTTGTGAAATGTTTATTTGACAATGATTTAGCACTTTTGTCTAATGCTTTGTATAAGACTGTTTATTGTCATTACTTCTGAAATCTTTTCGGTTTATCTGTCCTCGACATCCTTTCCAGGTTCCTAATTGGGATGTCACAGTGTTTTTCCATGCCTTATTTCATCCACCTTTTGAACCTTTAGGGTCATGTTCACTATATCTTCTTTCATTTAAGACTTATTTCTTCTGTTATTGGCAAGCGGGTGTCAACATTCAAATATGTTTGTGCTTCATGTTCACAGAACTCTTTACCATTCCACTTATGTTATGTTGTATCCAGACAGGGCTTTTCTGCTCTAAACTTCTGCAGCTAGAGAAGAAAGTAAAACTTTCTCTCCTATTCATCTTCCTTCCATTTCCCATTTATAAGACCACTTAGATCTGGATCCTTCTTTGTGCCTGGTTCAGGCTCTCTGATGTTATGTGGCACACACTGAAGAATTTCAGGACTCACATCAGTTGCTTTGTTTGGCTTACTCTGGGCTTTCATTGGAGGAGTGGAGACATATGTCAAGTTTGACATATCTCAATGTCCCTGGCAGCTCGGTTGCATCACCCACTGGAGGAAATTGTACAGGCTGGTATGTGAACCACACCTAACACCTTTATATCGCACTATTTACATGATTTAGTGGTTTCCTCCTTGGATGGATTTCAGCTGTTCCCTGTGAGTGTTCTACATGCCTCATCTTGATTGTGATAGAGGTGAGTGACTTCATTTCTTCTGTGTTATTCTATTACTTTTCAGGGGCCTTCTCATCATTATCATTTGGATCCCACTCAGTGGCAAGTGTTGCCTGGTCAGGTATCCTTTTCCAAATTCACACTAACTACCAGTAGACTAATAAATAAAATTCCTGGTAACAATGAGTTCTGATGAGATGGGATGTTTCATAAGACCACCTTGGTGCTTTCTGGGTGGTACACAATTATTCAGTACCTTTACATAATATACAAGACTAGACTGCCACTCATGGACTATCATGAGTAAAGCACAAAGGGATTTTGCTCATCCCTACTGACTTTTGGACTGAATAAATTGGGGTTGATTTGCTTTTCAAAATAGGGAATGTTGTTCACCTATTGCACAGTCTTTGGAGCATCATTCCTTGCCCCCCCCCCCCCCCAATACGAATTCTCCCCTTATTTCTCCATAGTGGAGCATAAGAGTCCTTACCTCTCCCAGTTTCCAGTCACTGAAGTGGTGGACAGCAGTCTGTTCCTCCTGAGTGATGTTTGAACACGTTATTCCATCCAAGGAGAAGAGGACAAAGCTGGATACCCTCCCACACATAACCTAGGATGGTTTTCCAAGATGTCTAGTGGAAGCAGGACCAACCTACGCAGTAGCCTCCTCGTAATTCCAGTTCAGAGATGACACTTTGCTATCTGGTTGTGTTGAGCATGGCCTTTATGGTCATTATATTACTTTCCATGATTATGAAAGAGGCTCCTCGACTCCTCATTATTCCACATGTGGAGCATTTAGTCCTTGAGCCATTGGTTGAACTTTCTTTGTTCCACATCCTCCTCGTAATTCTGGGGGACAGAGGTATTGCCTTGCCTCTCAGGTTGGAGAGTTAGGATTTAGGTTCATAATCTCAGGCTGGATAATCTCTGTTTTCTTTAGGTTAAGTGAGGTGTGAATGGTCCCATAATTTTGAGTTTGGTTTGTTGCGTTCTGTGCTTCTTCACGTTGGGGGAAAGTCTTGTTTACTTGGATGTTACTTGCCTTCTCTTTGTAATTCTGGTGGCTCGCATGCAACATTCTGTTACTTTCAGGTTAAGTTCCTAGGCCAGTAATTCCGAATTCAGTTTGCTGCATTTTGTGCTTCTTCAGGTTGAGGTGAGGGTTTGCCCACTTTTGTGTTGCTTGCCTTCTCTTCAAAATTCCGGTGGCTCAACATGCAACATTCTGTAGCTTTCAGGTTAGGTTCCCTTAATATCATATTACTATAATACAGTTATATCACACTGCAGTCCCCATGCCCTAGCCATTACTCCTTGGATCTAGCTTTGGGTCCACAGCCCTATAATTCCAATAATGAGACACTGAATTTCATTTGCATGGTTGGGGCATGGACGATTCTCGTGAGCACACACAATATTTCCAGACCAGATGCGTCTGGTATTGCAGGAGGAACCAGTTTTGGAATAGATGTCACTCATTGCATGTTTCTTTTTCAAGATGTTACGGTTTCAACGCCGTGGCCAATTGGCCTTTATCACCTTCGTTTTAGATTTTTATTAGCCGAGTGAAAAGCATACCTGTTCTAGAAGTAGTGTGAACCTCACTAGTGTGCTATACTATATCTCAATTTGCACACAGGTTTTCTACACAGATGCTTTCTGTGTGTATCTTGCCTTCACCGGCCCCTCCACCTTGTCAGTGTGTGATTCTAGCTAAAGTGTGAGTAGAGCTGTGTTTTGGAAGTTTACATTTTCCTATACTGAAAATGTATTTCCGATAAGACTTATCTCCTCCCCACAATGACCGGTGTTTGGGTCTGACAATTTTGTCTGTCTCAAAAAGGTGAATAAGAAGTAATAATGGAGAGCTTATATACAGATAGGCAGTGGGGTGGGTTATAAAGGCTGAATCAAGTGAGGTATAATTCATACCAATGCTTAGATGGGCAGAGAAGAGTAACTTTTGTCGGAATAAATCTAAAGTGTGAGAGAAGGTAAGTTTTGTCGGAATTACATTTTCAGTATTGAAAAATGTAAACTTTAACATTTAGAAAGTACAATTTTTTGTTATTTACACATCACTCCTCTTTCAGTCATAGCAAACAGATTTTAAACAATCGTTGTCTATTAACTATTGGAAGAAGCTGGCCTAACTTGCAGCTCTTATGTATTGGAGGAACTGAAATAGACATTCGAGGCCTTGTCACTGTTGGTAAGTATAACCTGTGATGACTAAAGTAAGCATCTAAATATGTATTGAAAGAAACATGTAAGGAACTATACATAATGAATACAGCAAACTCCTATGTTATGAGAAGGTATAATTATATAAATATTGTCACAGTGAGGTGAATATTCTGTAAATAATTTTACATATTTTAAATAACTTGAGCACAAAGTAGATTATTTACATTGACTCAGTAATTGATTTTAAAAATATAAACTTTTCCACCAAAAAAGTTATTATAGAATGAGTGGTTAAAATTTGAAGCTTAAGACAGTTGTAACAAACAATCTTCAATACTGAATTTGGACATTAAACCACTTTTAAGTAAACCATTATTTGATACCTTAGTATATGTATGTCTTTTTGTTAAACTTTACAAAGAGTTATTCCAGAACAGTTTGAGGATTTAAACATATCATATTTTTTACTTAGCTACAATATATTTATTTCAGCAACCTAATAGAAGATTGTTATTTTTAGCTAAACACTGCCAACAACTGGCAGTCCTAGAGCTGGATCACGCGGGGGAGTTGCAGGAAGATTCAGTGAAAGAAATGTGCAGAGTTGGTCTGAAAAAACTAGAGGATCTTTACCTCACACACACCTTAGTCACTGCAGCAGCTTTGCTCCATATACATGGTAGATGATGATAATTTCAAGATATTTTGTATTATATAAGGTATTTGCAATACTTCTCAGTGGGTATACCAATCACTGGGAACACTGAACACATGGTCACCAGAGGTCACTTCATAACCACTGTTGCCAGGTGACCCATTTGTCTTTTGGCTTTGTGGATACCTGAAGTCAGTTGTGTATCATTGAGTGTGTGGAAATTGATGGACTTGACATATAACAGCAAATCAACATGTTGATTCTTGGACAGCTCTATTCAGTGGTCAATCACATAATCCCAAAGATGCAGTCTATTGGCACCATGCACAGCATTCTCTGGTGGCAATTTATGGGTCTCATTTGTATACCCACCAAGAATTATTGATTTATGATGGTTCAAATTCACTTTACTGATGTTAAAATGCACTAAAAAGTTTGAGTACCCTGTGTACTTAGTACCTAGGATAAAATTTTTAAAGTAGATGAAATAGATTTTTCATGTTTACCTATGCTTAATTGGGTTTCATGGTAATTCAATTTTTCAATTTCCAGTTATAACATTGAAATAAGTAAACCAAGTTTTACATCTTTTACTGCACATGTCAGAAGTTTTTAGTGAGTTACATTCAAAAGTTAATTAAACTACTTTCTTTTCATGGTATACCAGTAAATATAGCATAAAAATGTAGCTCATACATTTATGCATATTTGTTATTCTTTTTATTACATACAGTATGTACATATTAATAGAAAATTAAACATACAAGAAATAAAGAAACTTAATCAGCATATTTGTGGAATACTCCTTAATAAATACAGCCATTTATTTCTGTGTATATTATTAAATAAACAAAACACAAAAAGGTGAAATTGATATTAGAAGCCTATCTTAAACATCATTTTATATTAACATATATCTGAAATTAACAACTTATTGAACATAACACAAAAGCATAATATCCTGTTATGTTATTGCACCATCATCATAAACAGTCACTTACATACTTAATAAAAAAGTTAAATTAATGATAATATTAATCATATATGTGTAAGCTGCCATTCAATGAATATTACTCAAGTTTGTCTATGAACACCTGTTAATAACCAGTCTTTTAATATATTTTTTTAACTCTGCAATTGCATTCATATTCCATAACTCCCTCAGGAGTTGGTTCATTATATATGGTATTTTATACATTTTTACTCTTGTTCCATAGTTACTATTGTAATTTGGAATTTCATAGAATTTATTTTCTAATGTTCTAGTATTATGCGTATGATTTTTTAGTACTTATGATGTAGACTATAATATGAATTTATAATAATCATCTATATAAATATATGTCAGTATGTGTGTGTGTGTGTGTGTATCTGTTCCTTATATGTTTCCACATTTCTTGATCAATCAACACCAAACTTGACACATGGGGAAGTTTTCTCACCCATAATTTCATATCTAATTTTGTAAAAACTACCAATGTTGTATATTCCTCAGCATTAGAATGAACTATGTAACCACTATTGATAGAATTCTTGAAAACAGTATGTTTTTCTTTTCAGTATTGGCTCCTTTATGTATTTTTATTGCTACTTTTAATGTTTATTATTTTAAGAAAAAAAAATAGAAGCACAGTTTCCTATCCTTTGTTAAAATGAGTTTTTATTTCATATGTCCAATGGACAGGTACTCCAGCTAATATATTTATAAAGTGCATTTATATCAAATAACTGATTTCTTATAATTTCATCTGCTAATGAGACATTTATATTGAGTTCATCATTTTTGTTTAAGGTTAATATCTTAAACATTCTTTGTTAAATTGTACTTTTTTTTTCATTGAATATTATTTGATGAGCCAGATACTGTCAATCCATACCATATAACAGATTCTACTAAGGATACATAATTTTAATTTTTGATATTGATTGGTAAAATATTCTGTATTCTCCATAATTTTGCAAATCTTATTTTCATAATTTTGCTGTAATTTTGTAAATCATATTTATATATTTAACCCAACTAAAACCTTGTCTATAATTAGCCCTAAGTATGCATTAGTATAAATATTTTCAATATACGTACACTTACAATCAGAATACTGCTTATTTTCTACAAATAAATGCTATATTTAGTATTAAATCTTTGATCATGACTTTGTTTAAAAAATGTTGTTTGTAATATTTGTATATTGTGAGTGAATTATCATTGTTTTTGATTTATCAGTATTCATATAGATTTCATTTATATTAAGCCAATACCTTAACTTATTGAAATCAACCTGTAAAATATTTTTGCCAACTTCCATATCAACATGAGTTATGGTTAAAGCTGTATCATCTGCATATGTGCCTTCCTATGCCTCTACTGTAGAATCAGCTCGGCCTAGTATTTCTTTTTTAGACATGGTTTCTCAGGAGTGTGCTGTTTTATCCATTTCCTTGATTTCTTATAATCCCCCTCCTTCTTTATTACATGATACTCTCTCCTCTCAGTAATTTGTGTTTCCCCCCCCCCTTCCCCCCGAATATTAAGGTCTATGCAGAGCTTTTTGTCTCTCAGTTGGTTGAGGGTGCTAGCATGCCTTGCCTACATGAGCTTCAGATCACTTTGCTTTAGCATACTATCAGGCTGAATTTCCATTTCTTGATTCTCAACAGTTGGAATCGCTTTAGCTGTGTGGGGAGACAGATTCTGATAATGCAGTTCATTTAAATCTTGCCCATTTTTTTGCCTTCATCTTACCCTCTTAATTCTCTTTTGGTACTAGTCTACTATCCACCTCTATTGTGAGGCATTCCACTGTTATCCTGAGGGTTTTTCAAGGGATAGCTTCTCCCTGATTACCTCCACATTAGCATATTTGTCTTCTTCGGCTCTTTCCTTACACATGTGATTTCTCTGTTGTTGGGATCTTCTGGGGAGTGACGCTGTATTGTCCCAAGTTCATTTACCAGCAGTCTGTTTTTCGAAAATATTCCTGAGACTTTGGAATCTCATTCCAAGCCTAGACAAGCCCCTATTACTGTCCCGCTCCTTACCAGTTCCGATCTCCAGGGGTTCCTCCTCTCATCATATTATTCGATGCCAATGGACATGTTGCCAACAGCACCAGTGACTACCTGGTGGGTTCCAGTACAGTAGGGGCTCGATTGACCGATTTTGTTCCCCAATGGCAAGTTTTTGCCACAGATCAGTGGGTTATTTGGGTATTATCCAAGGGAATTGTCATTCACTTCCTTTCCCCTCTTCCGTTGTTTCTGGTACCTACCCATATCCCTTCCTTATCCTCAGGATCCTACCACCATTCAACATTTGTCAGAAGCGGTACAAAATCTTTTATTCCAGGAAGCCATCGAACCTGTAACTCATCCTTCTCCAGGTTTTTATTCTAGGCTATTTGTGGTACCCAAGAAAATCAGAGACTGGCAACCTGTGATAGATTTGTCCTGCCTCAATCACTTTATTTTTTAGTTCTGCCCCAATTTACCATGGAGTCTTTTTTTTCACCCTCAGATGGTCTTTTTCTCCAGGTTTATGGATGACCAAGGTAGACATTGTGAATACTTATCTGCATATTCCAGTATCTCGTTTATGGAGATGCTGTCTTCGGTTTGTTCATCATGGGGTAGTTTATCAATTTTGGACCCTGCCCTTTGGGCTTGCTTTAGTCCTGCATGTCTTTTGCCGAGTGGTCAAGGCTTTTGTCCGACAAAACTGTGCTTATACCATTACATGGATTACTGGTTTCTGTTTGGTCATTCAGAACAGTAGTCCACCCATCAAACTCATCTGCTGCTCCTGGAAGCAGCTCATGTGGGTTGGTTAAACAAATTGTAGAAGTCATTCCTTATAATTACCCAATATCTTGTCCAATCAGGTGTCTTTTTCAACACTCATCTCAATCAGACCAAACCTTCTCCTCTTCAACTCCATTTGACAAAGCTTTCAGTTCTGTCTTTACTGCTCCTTCTATTACTTTTCATGAGGTTCTGTCACTTTTGGGGATGTGGTCTTCTATAGAAGCCCTTATCCCCTTGGGTTGGGTGCATATGAGGTCTCTTCACTGGGCCCTGCATGATCAGTGAAACCTTGTGCAGGATCCATTAGAGGCTCCTGTTTCCCTTTCTCCTTTTCTTGTCAACAATTTGCATTGGTGGTTGGACAGGGCTCGGTCTGTGAAGATATGCAAATCCAGATGCAGGGAAGAAAGAAAAACTTGCCGACTTGACTTCCCTCCAGGGCTGGGAGGTGTGAATCAATCAGCAGAAAGCTTCAGGTCTGTGGTATCTGGTTGAGTCATCTTACCATATCAACATCCTGGAGCATCTGGTTATCCATCATGCTTTGGCTTATATCACTTACCAAGGCAGCACCTATTCTTGTTCCCTTTGTGGTCAAATTATGGATCTCCTTTTTTTTGAGCCTAGATGCTCAGTATTCATCTCCTTGTGTGCCATGTTCTAGGTGCATTCAGTCTTGTCGCAGATAATATTTCTTGTCCTGATAAAGTTTATCTGATGGGGTGGTCTCTCAATCCTCTAGTTTTCCATTACCTATGCCTTTGGTGGGGTACTCCTCACCTGGATTCATTTGTCAAACCCTTCAATTCCAAATTACCTCTGTTTTGGTCTCTGGTTTCTCATCCACTTGCAATGGCTGTTGGTGCATTCAGTCAGGATTGGGACAACAAATACCTTTATGTGTATCCTCTCATCTTTGTTCGTCCCAGACTGATTTTGATCATCCATACCACTCCATGTCAGCTCCTTCTGATTGCTCTTTACTGGCCGGCACTACCATGGTTTCTGTGGCAGCATCAGCTCCAATCTGCCACACCATTACCTCTTCCTCTTACTCCATCCCTTCTACATCAACCTCAGTCACCTGAATTTCATCCAGCCCTTCATATCCTCCATCTTCAGACCTAGTTTTTATCTGGTCCTTGGCAAGGAGATCAGGTTTGTCCTGGCAAGCCACTTCATTTTTAGCTAATTTCATTCTCCCTTCCTCTATGGATGTTTATCAATGCAAGTGGAACATTTTCTTCTGTTTGTCTTTGGGTTGGGAGTTTCATCTGCTTGATCCACTTCCTCTTCTTATCGATTTCCTCACTTGGTTGTTTGATCAGGGGTCTTTGGTTTCCTTGATCACAGGTTTTTGGGCTTCCTTATCCAACACTTTTCATTTTTCCAGGTACTATAAACATTTTACCTCTCCTACCCTCTCCCTATTATTGAGTTTCTTCCGGATTCGTCATCCTCCTCAGAGTGCAGTCTTCCAGATTAGGATGTCATTGGGGTTCTTCACTGCCTTGCTCTGCCTCTGTTTGAACCTGTGTCCTTATGTTCAATTTTTCACTTATCCCTTAAGACTTATTTCCTTCTCCTTTATCTGGATCCCTCTTTATTTCCCAAATCCTTGGTGGCTTGTGAGTGTAACTCCTCATTCGCAGTGATTTCCCTTCCTTCTATTTCCCACCTATATCCTCAGTCTGATCCGAAAAGACTATTATGTCCCATACATGCTCTTCATTGTTACATTGCCTGAATGGCTTACTTTCAGGATGCCCTTTCCCACCTCTTCATTCTGTGGCCTTTCATGACCTTTCTTCTTCCACCCTTACGTATTGGGTTTGGCTTTTGATTTAATTTGATTGTACTTCCTTGTCTCCTTCTTCCTTTAGTTTGTTTCAGATGTCTTCTCATTAGATTCAGCACCATACTTTTTCCTGGCATCTCAATGGGGCATGTGGACCACACCATATATGTTTGTCCCTCACTATCTGCATCAGATCACTGTTTCTTCATCATCAGGTTATCATCTTCCACCTGTGGCCATTTTTCAGATTCCAGTGAAACTGTGACTGGATAAGTTATCTTTTGTGTACATCTTATTTTTCAGGGGCATTTCCCTTTTTTTCCCTGTATAGATCTCACTCTGTGGCAAGTGGTGCCTGGCCAGGTGTACTTCAAGTAGTCAAATCCACATTGTCGGGCCATGTTCACATTATATTTATAATTTCCATGGCCACTAACACTCACTTTTGAAATGGGGGTTGTTCCACAACATCGTTAGTAGGTTTTTCCTTGCAATATTGAATTGCTTCATTAACATTCCCATTCCGAATCATACTCACACATGGACTTCTTGAGTAAAGCAGAAGGGGATAGCTGCCAATCCCTGCCATTCCTTTGATATAATAAATCAGATATGGTCTACTTTTCAAAATAGGATTTTCGTGGTCATCAGTTGCATTGTCTCTGGTTTGACATTTCTCCAGACTTCCACCATATTTTATCCCATCTTTTTCTTCCAGTGGAGTATGAAAGTTCTTACCACTTTCCAGTTCCTAGCCACTGGGGTGGTGGGCCATGGAGGCATCCTTCTGAATGTGATAGTAATATACAATACAAACAATGATGAAACAATTCATTTGAGAGTAGGACGGTGGTGTTCTGCTGGTGTAGATGACGAGACATCCTTCAATCTGATGCTTCATCTCTCTATGGGTTTATCCAAGAGAATATTGTAGCTTTGAAGTGAGCTGTCAAAATTGCTGTTCACCTCTTTGATTGTGATGCTTCATCCTATCCCTACATGGATTTTGGTTCCTAGTGGCTGGGTTTTGAATTTAGAGCTGACAATCAACACAAGTCCTCACAATTATACCCTTGTTCACTCCACTTGTGTTGTGAGTCATGGTAGTGGTAATTGCAGATTAATATGGTTCTTCATCTTATGCTATCCCACAATGATTTCCATATACCGATGATGTTTTGTGCTGGGGTGGTTCCTGTCAGATTAGGTTTGAGTGGGAGTGTTTACTTTACAGGGACATCTTTCTTATGCTGATTGTCCGGATGTTAGGTTCCCAGATCGGTCAAACAATTTAACATATTGTTATCACGTGTCCTGTTCACAGATCAATGCGAACAAGATTTTCCTCCAGTCTGCTGATCTTGAGGTGAAGACAGTATGATTCTCCTTCCTACCTCCACCAGAAGGCAATTTGGATTGTAGTTGACTTGCCAGCAGTATAATCTTCTTTCCTACCCCCACATGGATGTCGGTTTGTGGTGGCTGGGTTTTGGATTGTAGTGAACTTGACAGCAGTATGATCCTCTTTCCTACTCCCACATGGATATCAGTTCCTGGTGCTTGGGTTTTGGATACAGTTGACTTGCGTGTATGGTCCATCATGTCCTAGCCATTCTATACCTAAGGGCACATCCATTTTTAATCTTACCCACATTCATGTAATCTATGGGATTGAGATTCAGATATTGGGTGGTTCAAATCCCTATCTAACCATTATTCGTTCCCTTTTGGATTTGCTCCTCACATTTTACGCCCAAGTCTGCATCACCTCTTTTTACACTGGGTGAAGAGCATACCTAGTAGAGAAGTGATGTGGTTTCCCGTGTGTGATCCTCTAATGCAAGAATTTCCTCTTTTAGGGTGTTCTTTGGACACTTTTGAAGGATGCTTCTTTCTTTCCCTCACACCAGGCCCTCCACTTATTCAGTCTGGGATTCTAGCTATTTATGTGAGAAGAGGTAATGTATCAAACCAGAATTTATAATTTTCCTATACTGAATATGTATTTTCAATAGGGACTTACCTCTTCTCACACATTCCACCCTTCCTCCCCACTGAAAACTGGTTCTTCCACTTTCTGCCAAAACTTGAAGTGATAATTCGGTAGAATCGAATAGAGGGATTCACATGCATCAGGAGGGTGTGTCATACTCCTATTTGCAAAGGGTTGCCACAGGATGATTTACATGCAAGATGCAGTTGAACCATGCTGAACATAGGGTATATGGGAGCTCAAGGCTTGTGGCATGCAGAAAACTTTTTGCATATTTTGGGCAGCACTGAACGAAAATAACTATTTATGTGAGAGGAGGTAAGTACCTATCCGAAATACATTCTCAGCATAGGAAAATTATTAGCTTAGATGAAATAAATAATTTTCTAAGTGTACACTCAGTGAAAGCAATTTAATTGCTTAGATGTTCTTTGATTGAAGCAAAGTCTTAAGATTTGTTTGTTATTTCCTAAGACGAGAACATATTTGAAAATGAAAGCTGTTGTCTAAACTGTGTTGTGAAGTATGTTCACTTTAATAAGTAGGACTCAAAGTGTGCATGCCACAAACTTGTACAGAGTGGCATTCAATGTGTTATTATGCATTTGATGTCAGAGTTATCAACATTTCGTGTTAACTTATGTTGCCAGTTTCACAACAGTTCATGTTGGAGTACAAAAAATACCAGATACTATATACAGAGAAACTTGTACAAGTTTACATATGCATTTAGGAGGTTGTAGAGGTTCTGCAAATACAATATGCAAACTGTATGGTAGCCAAAAGTGTTTCTATTTTTCACATGAACATCACCTTGCACTTTGACTTGTCTGAGTCAAACTGACTTCAGGCACATATTTAGTAAAAAAACTATAGTGAAAAGTCTGAATTTTTGTGTAAAACAGACTTGTGCTGTTGACACATTTCATGAAGATAAACTTTGTAAATTCTGAATTATAGCCAACATGACTTCTCTAATATATTGGGTTGTTCCAGTGGACAGACCTGTTCACATTCAGGTGACAAGGTCTTGTACGTCTTCATTACAGCAAAGTTGTGGTTTTAGATTGTGATCACTAAATAACTGTTTTTCAGAAAACTGCTCTACGTTAAAGAAGATAAAAATCCTCACTGCTTCTTCAGACTACTCCATCCACTCAACTAGTGTGCAGGAATACAATAAAAAACTTGAGGAATTAAAAGTAAGATATTTAACGTAGGTAGATTACCCAAGTTTAAGAACACAAACTTTAGTGTAATTTTTATCTGTGCTTGATAGATTCATCACGTGTGGCTAAAATGGTTTGTCAGTTAGTAAATAGACCCTGAAAACTCACTCGGTTGAGTAAATGGACTAATTTATTCCTTTTGTATAAGATTTTAAATGAAACTGTAAAAAATCACCAAGGGGTAAAGTTTAGTTACTAGTTTGTTTGTCTTTCAGTAGTAAGAATGTTACATTTTTCACATGTCATGTATTCTATGTTTGATTGCTTTAATACGTAAGACTTTTTAGTGTGTTATTAGACTTTATTTGTAAATCAAAGATTAGAATATTGTTTGGACACAACACAGAACTCGATTTAAAATTTAGAATGAACATCAAAAATGTTAGTAAGCACTGCATTGTGAATAGATTATTGTTTGTTTTCTTTACTAACTAATATCCTGTACTTGACATATTCAGACATGGTATTGGCTACAGTTTCTGAATCCCAAGTTATAAAAGTATCACTACAAAGAAAAATATCAACTTTATTATTACCAACATTCTTCAAGTAGCATTACAAATAACATAAACCCTGCTATTTCTTAATTAGCATAAAAAAGACCAATATCAACCTTACTGTTATAGTGTAATTTTATTTGGTGATAAATGTTGTTTTTTTTTCATAGGTCAATATGAAATTGTTTTTATCACATTCATTTTGCAGACTTCTCAGTTTCAAAGATTTAAGAGATTTTACCTTGTGCACATGTAAACTGAAAAAACTATCACATAGTTTGAACTGGACAAGTAACTCAATTTGTTGCTATAGTCAATTACGTAGATCAATGTCATGTATAATAATTTTTCAATTGAAATTACAATTAAATTGATTAGTATCACAAAAGTAATCAGTTAAGCAAAGTTAGTGTTTCCAATTATTACTATTTTAGATTAATCCAATTATCTTGTGTGAACAATCAATTAGTTAAATGTAATTGACTAATGAGCCTCATGATTAATCAATTAGCATGTTGTTTTAATTGCTATCTCTACACATAGATACCTGTTTAGTTAAGTTTTTAGGCGTAAAACATATATATTCTAGTAGTTGATTTTTTTCTTCTTTTTTAGGCTTTGAAAAAGCAGTCAAGATTTAGAACACTTCTTTACATCACAGAATGGTAATGACAATCAAAGTTAAAAGATAAACCCATATTTAGAGCTATTGTGAACCCTCAGAGTTTTTCAAGTAAACTTTTCATTGAAAATATATTGTTTCAAACCATAACTAGAGTATTCCAAGACAATGTCAGTAACAGTAAAAATTTTTGTAGCAGAGATTAACTAACCATCCATGTAAAGAAGATCAAATTTAGCTTTCATTAGAACAGCTATTGTTTTTTCAGTGTATCAACACTAATTCATTTCATGTTTTAAGTGCATGTACTGCTTATTCAGATGTCTTAAATTAAAATATAATATTATTATTATTGTTTATAAACAAAAGGATGTTGCACTGTTTCTTGTAACTAAGTTGTTTATTAGCAAGTTTTATTTGATGAAATATAATTTATACCTTTGGAAGGGTCCATATGACCTAATTACCTATTTGTTGGTGAATTAGAAAATGGATTAACAAATGGTAAACGAGGATAGAAAAAATTCTTTGTTTATGGTATTTTTCATATAAGTAATATTTACCACTTTCACCATATGTTTCAGAGTGTTGTCATTGTCAAGTCATAACATTTTGCAATATTTTATTTCCTTAAATGGAACTAAATGAAATGTAAGTGGTTGTTATATTGCTTTATATATAAGTACCCACCTAATCTTTCATCTTAATCTATTAAATGTAGCTTTCCATGAAGTATCATGATGTGAAGCAAATAAGTTGGTTTAACTTTAAATGTCATTCTAAATGTGTTTATTGAAATGTGCTTCCCCAAGTCATTTTTTATGCATAATATATTGTCACAGTTGATTTCAAAATCTCATATTTTGTAATTTTCTACAACATACTAGGAGCTTTCTTCTAAACCAACTATTTAGTAATGTTCCCTTAGAAATTATACATATTTTCTACATTTTTTTACAGAACTTGTTTTGTATATTGTATTTTGTAAGTAGTGCTCTTCTGCTGATGTAAAATTTTGAATAAACTTTAGTAAGATGCATTTTAAAAGACTAATGTTAAAGAAGAACTCAAGTGCTTTTATTAAAATGTGTTTTGTACACAGTTTCAGTCATAAATTTTAATATTTAATCAAGAGAGAAATATCTAAGAATGTGAGAATTCAAGTAAACTTTTATAGCATAAAAATATTTATTCACAATATCTTTTCATCATTATGGCTGCCAAAAGCTTGCAGGTATCACAACGGCAAAAAAATGAGCAGATAGACATTGTGTTCATATGGTTAAGCAAGAACTTGTTATAACATTCCATCTAATCTTACCTAAAGTGCAAATCTTTTTTTTTTTTCTAATGCATCAGTAATTATTTTGTTTAAATTCTTAATGAAAAATCAGTATTTTTTTTGGACAGAAAATATACAAATAAAGACTTGAAAGTATTATAGTGTTCTAATATCTATATGAGAATGGGCTTATGAAAAACATTTTGATAAATAAATATATCTCAGTATGAAAAGAATTTAAGCATTTCAGTAATGAATCAAAACAACTTATATAAAGATGTAACATAATACCAGTATGTTAAGATAAGGTTACCTGTTGATGTAAGCTAAATTGATATAATAATTAAGCTATCCATCAGGAAGTATTTAGGGCAGGTAGCCAGTACCTCAAAACGTTATAACATTGTTAATAGGTAGATTAGTGAAAGACGAGTCTGTACTCTCTTTAATTTTCATATGATATTTGCCTCCTATCACAAAATAGCTTTTCTCGATTGGCACTGCCCTCTATTGGCACAAATGTTCACTACTTGCCATTAGCCTTCCACTTCAGTATATCCACACATAAATTGTCATGCAGCAGCTCCCCACCAATAGCAGCTCGACACAACCCCTATCATAACCAGCACCCTCTCCACATTTGCACTTGTTAATCACTTCTCAATTAGCAGTAGCACAGTACATTTGTGCTTGTTTTTATTTGCACATTTGTCAACATTTTCCTTTATACTACAGATTTAGTTTTTCTTTACTATATTTTTATTTCTTTATTTACAGGGGGCTTTTTTGCTAGTGTATTGTGGATTCCACTCTGTGGCGAGTGGTGTCTGACCAAGTATACTTTTTTTTTTTAAAAGATACACTGTCCATCCTGTGACCATGCTCAATGTCAGTTATGTTGTAGCCCTTCATACCATGGACCTGATGTACAATTCCAGATGCTGCCAGGTGTTGGTTGTGTGTCTCCATTCAATTGTCATCTAAGACAAAACAATTATGTCACATGATTAGGTTACACACACCGTAGAGATGGGTGTTCTGTTGGACTGTTAATATTTTTGCTAATGATCTTTTGCTTCATAAATATGTTCATCCCAGACTGTACACTCCTGGACATACATGAGTACAGCAGACAGGGATTGCTGTCCATTTCTGATGCTCCATGGTTTCGAGACTCTTTCTACCATAGGCCTGACATACAATTCCAGATGCTGCCAGGTGTTGGTTGAGTGACTCTTTCAGTTTGGTAGCTCTGCTTTTTAAAATAGGGTATCGTGGTCACCTGTTGCACTGTCTCCTGAATCTCCAGTGCATTTTTCCTTCCTTTCTTCTAGTGGAGTATGGGAGTCCTTGCCACTTACCAGTTCCTAGCTGCTGTGATGGTGATCTGTCTTCCTGAGTGATGCATCATACCACTCAGTTGAGAGTAGAGCAGTGGCATTCCACAGGTGTTGATGTTGATGGCTTACAGTACTTCCTACCACAGACCTGATGTACAATTCCAGATTCTGCCAGGTTTTGATTGAAGCAATCCGCCATGTCACAACTATATATATATATATTGTAGTTTGCTCCTCAGGCTGAGATGTTTCTCCTACCTATTATCCTTCAAATGTGGTTCCTAGGGGATTAGGTGTTGGTTGGAGATGGTCCAGCTGAGTAAGTTCTCATATATTTTCGGGCCAGTATCCCTCCTCCTACCACGGATTAGATGAAAAATGCCCAATGCCACCAGGTTTTGGACTGAAGATGCACCCCAGGTTGGGGTCCCTCTTCGTACTGTCTGCTGAATGTCGTTTCTCGATGGATCTGGTGTTGGTTGTAGCTGGACACAGCACATGTATTCCCTCTTATGTACAGCTGGGTATCCTCCTCCTACCACAGCCTTGAAGAATCATACCCAGTGCTGCCAGGTATTGAACCAGAGATGTCATCCCACTGGGGCTTTCCTCCTTTCTACCATCTGCTGGATGTCAGTTTGTAGTAGATCAGGTGTTGGTTGAGTTGGAAATCCACACAAGTGGAGATGGATTTTGGTATGGAACCTTGTCTTCTCTATCAATTTTTGTTTCGAGGTGAAGAGGTAGGTGATCCTCTGCCTACCGCAGAACTGTTGTACAATTCCAGATTCTGCCAGGATGAGATCGAACTACCAATGTAGTCTGTTTAGCCCTAGCCACTCAACATGCAGGGGTCTCATTAATCGATAATACATATTATGGGATTCCTTCATGTCTTTCAGCCTTTTATATTTGTAACACAGTCATGAATGAGTAAAGAGTATACCTGAATCAGATGTGGTACAGTCTTCTGCTGAGGTGGGATATTTTATTTTATGGTTGCACACCTCATGGTCTCTTTTTGGGCACTTCCTAAATGGGAATCATTTTTTTCACCATCCCTCCACCAGTTCAATGTGGAATTGTAGTTATTTTGTGAGCAGAGTTAAGATATCGTTTCGAAAGTTAACATTTTCCTAAACTGAAAATGTATTTCTGATAGGTACTTACCTCCTCTCACATTTCTCACCAGCCTACCTACTTCCAATGATATGTTATGTAGGTCATATAACCAATCTTGAAGCGATTAATGAGTGAAAATGTGGAGAGGGTGCTGGTTACAATAGGGGTTGTGTCATGCTCCTATTGGTGGAAAGCTGTTGCATGATATGGATATGTAGAAGCGGGAGGTGGAAGGCTAGTGGTGAGCATTGAAAATTTGCACCAATATAGAGCAGTACTAATCGAGAGAAGCTATTTAGTGAGAGGCGGTAAGTATCTGTCTGAAATACATTTTCAGTTTAGGAAAATGTTAACTCATGTTTATATCATCTTTGATCTGTGGCTTTAGTCGGTTCCCAGCTAATGTTGTGGATAATTGAGAATTAGGACCAATTGTCCTTCTCTGTCATCTCATGAAGTACTGCAAGTAAGTCCATTCTGTACCATCGAAAAGGAAACTTATCTTTGAAGATATTGTGAAACTTAAGGCTAAATGCCAAAGAAGAAGCACACTTTAATTTGGGTATTTTCAAAATTGAAATGTGCTACAGGTAAAACGTGGGGGTTATTATAGAGTTGTAGCCAAGGGTTCCAATTGGACAAAATTTGGTGGTGTTGCATCAGTGTGTCTCCTTGTCATTCAAACAAATCTAATAGAGAATTGGATCCAATGATTACAATTTTTGTGTGCCAACACTACCAAATGTGGACGCACGTATAACTGATTCGATTTTATTACACATTATGATCTCTACCAACCAACCCTTAAATCTAATTATATGCCCAAAGTAGCACTTCGTCTTTTTTATATATATATATATGGCTGGAAGAATTTTAAAAAGATAAATTTGCTTGTTGTGGCATAAATAGTTGTCATTTCTGCAAGTTGAGCATCGATTGGTAATGCAGTGGCTGAGACATTTGCGTGAGAAACGGGCGGATTTTCACCTTTATATAGTAGGTTACGTTATCTTAACGTTAGTAATCTTGATTACCAGTTCAAAGTGTTTAGTGTGCTCAGACTGTGAATCCATAAAAATGTGGGGAGCTGTGATTACGCTACAACTTTGTTATAAGAATGATGGCCATATTCCACTATTCTGTCAGACAAGAGTTAGTGGTGAGTGCTGTTAAACTAGTTGCATTCCCATGTGCAGATAGCCTTTGTTTAGCTTTGTACAAAATTCTGAAACATTCCTTTTTCAACACTTTCTTTCTTTGTTTTTTGTGAATTTCGCACAAAGCTACATGGGGGCTATCTGTGTTACCTGTCCCTAATTTAGCAGTGTAAGACTAGAGGGAAGGCAGCTAGTCATCACCATCCTCTGCCAACTCTTGGGCTACTCTTTTACCAACGAATTCTGGGATTGACCATCCCAGAGTTGGAGATCCTCGCTGGTTTCTCCAACCAAGGAGTTTCAGCTGTGCAATGCATCTCCACTCAAAAAGATGGAATACTGCAGCCTACCAATGTTCTAATTGTAATGTTTACATCGCAACGTTTAGCTGCCTCTGTCAAGGCAGGTTATCTTAACTGTAAGGTACAGCCATTTATTATTAACCCTGTCAGATGTTTCCAATGTCAGTAGTTCAGACATTCAAAGGCATGTTGTCATGGTTCTTTGGCATGTGCTTGTTGTGGTAGCAAAGACCATGACACCTACAAGTGTCAACTGGACCCTCACTGTGTCAATTGTGGTGGTTCCCAACCCTCTTACTATTGATCTTGCCCTAAGTGAGTGGAGGAAAAATAGGTACAAGGTTTACATACTGTCAATAACATTTCTTTCCCCGAGGCTCGGAAGTTTTTGTCCTCTACTCCATCTCAGACATATGCTGCTGCACTATGTTCCATTGCTACTGTGGGAGTGCAGACAAATATTTCTGTGCCTCCAACAGAGTCCTTTTCTCATCATGTAAAGAGACTTTTGCCCTATGTGGAAACTAAAGTTTACAAGTCTATGTCTACTTCTGTCTCTGTCCTCACCATCGCTTCCAGTGATTGCTTTGGTCCAGAGATACAGAACTATTATTTGTTTGTGCCCTCAGTCACTGGAATCTCCTACTGACAGAGATCTGCCCGATCGACCCAGGGCAGGTTCCATGGAGGTCGATAGACCTCTTTCTGGTCAAAAATTACATGCAAAGGGGTCTTCTACCCAATTCACTTCAACCTAAATAAAAATGTGGAACTATCGAGGTTTACGTTCTAATTTGGATGACATTAAGGCCTTGATTGATTCCTGTCATTCAGTGTGTCTCCTTACAGG